TCTCCCTCTCCCACTCCCCCTGCTTGTGTTCCCTCTCTCGCTGTGTCTCTCTCTGTCAAATAAATAAATAAAATCTTAAAAAAAAAAAAAAAAGATTTATGATCTAAAAACTGTGGTTAAGACTACTAGTGGTCTCATAATTCCCATTAATTCCTTCTTCTTCAGTAAACTCTCAAATGTTAGTTGAGTATACCTGACCAAATAAAAATTAGCTTTCTTAGCCTCCCTGCCCCTAGTTGTAATCTGCAGCCATGTCTTACCAGGGGGATGAAAGTAGATGCAGTGTGTACTTCTTCTAGGAAGTAGCCTTAAAAACAGGAAACTTTCAAAAAAAAAAAAAAGGAAACTTTCCTTCTTATTCTTCTATCTTGTTTGCTAGAATATTGTTGTGATGGCTGATACTGGAGTAAGCCAACTTCTACAGATAGCAAAGCATCAAAAAAGAACCCTAAGCCCTAATGACTGTGTAGTTGACACAATATCCCTGGTACTGCGCATATACATGAAAGAAAAATTTCTATCTGAAGCCTTTGCTATTGTTATTTTTTGTCATTTGCAGTCAAACCTTATCCTAGTTAATACTAACTGAAAAAAATTATACCTTAGCCAATAAAAAAGTGATTTATGAATGGGAGAAGAATTTGTATCATCACAGTCTCAAAAAGGTTGTTCAAGATATTCAGTTAAGGACTGTCAGGTGAATTATAGAAAATCTGATGTAACTGTAGCATTGCATACTTACTGGCCTAAACAACAAATATTTACTAACCTGGGATGTTCTGGTATATTCCTCATATAGCCTGTCATACTCTTTACTCTTTTCCTGATACTGAGAGTGGTACTCTTGCAGTTTTTTACCAACTGCATCAATGTTGTCTTCTTTTACCAACTGATCCTGTACAGTTAAACAAAAGAAATAAAGAATGTTAACAATTCTGACACATGAATTTTTCCACATCTATTTATTTTTAAATTGCATTTCTACTGTAAGTTTAAGCCACTGTATTAATAGTAAGCATGCAAAAGCACTAAATCCTTTTGTTAACACTCAGCCTTTAGATCACATCAAAATAATTAATACTTGAAAAATTAAGAAATGAAGTATAAATAGGAAACAGAAACAGAAGTATTTTTATATAAAGTTAATAAGTACATGCAACAAGCTGTTAAGGACTAGTAGTCACAAAATAAGCTCCAAAAATATCTTAAATCTTAAGTAGGAAATTTAAAATGACTAGATTTTTTTTTTAACTGATAAGCCTGGTAAATTAAAATGAAACGATGTTAAAAATGACTTGTTGAATAGCTATCAAGAACTTCTATAGGGGCATGAGGGTGGCTCAGTTGGTTAAGCATCTGACTTTGGCTCAGGTCATGATCTTGGGGTCCTGGGATCGAACCCCACATCGGGCTCCCTGCTCAGTGGGGAGTCTGCTTCTCCCTCTCCCTCTGCTCCACCCCCCCTGCTAATTCTCTCTCTCTCTCAAATAAATAAATAAATAATCTTAAAAAAAAAAAAGAAACTTCTATAATCATACCTGTTGGTATCTGGACACTGGGTACATTAGCTTCACATCAAGTTTGGGATTGTACTGAGCAAGAGATTCATGATGATAGTGGTTAATGAGCTCCACCACAGAATTAAATGTCAGAGGATCAGAAAAGCCGTATTTACCATCTCGATGATAGATCTTTATTAACTTATTATTGCCTCCCTTCCTGTGAACAAGACAGCAACTGTAGATTTTCTTCCCCCAAATTCTATCAAAGTACTACTTTCATATGGAGATAAAAAAGTATAGTGTCTCGTAATAAGTTTTACTAGGTTAATCAGATTGGAACAGGTGAAAAGGCATGTATTAATTATGTAAAAGTATATACAATATCTTATTATTTTTACAACTATTTCATTTGTCTATAAAATATCTTGGTTACTAAAGGCAAATATACCTAACCAGCAGTCAGTATCAACAAATTTAACAAAAATAGTCACTTAAGAAAAATAACTAAAACAGAAGTAAATTATATCTTTTGTTTATTTTCTGAATGAATTTTCTAATTTAAATTCTATTTATATTTTTTCAGGAAGAAGAGAGACAATCTCTTTGGGACCTAAAGATACGAGGTTGTGTGTCTGTGAGGAGAAGCAGACCATCTCTGTATGAAGGGGGATGATAAACATGTGTCACACATAATCACCAACACCCTCAAGGTTTTATTGTGAATGCATAAACATGAATGATTTATGACTGAGTAATTAATCTAGCACCTTACATTATTTTGTCTTTTATATTTGCTTATAATTCTGGAAATGACTATTTATTTAGACCATCACAATAAGTAAATGATTCAACTGTCATTCAACTGTTTTATAAAGCATAGCTTTTGAAGAGCCATTTATATTAGAATGAGGTAATTTGATGCTTAAATAGTTTAGACCACTTTTGTTTACTGAGTCATATACAATGGTCCCTTAAAGATAATTTATACCCAAAGCTTAAAATGACAGTGTTTTCCAAGTCCCACATAGTATAATCAAACCACAGCAGGTTGATTCATTCTATCATAGCAAAACACTGCAGCATTCCCATTCAACTCTTCTTATAACAGCATGCAGACTTAATGGGGGGAAAAGTACATCTCCACATCTCTTTATGCCATGCTATTTACACATGATAAATGAGGCATCGGGATTTGTGAAAGGTCAAACACAATAGCTTTGTATATATGGAATGATTTAATAATGCTTATAGAAAGTCAGTATTTAGATGAATGAAGAACTATTCCTATAAAATGTACATTAGAAGAACCACCTAATCACATGTAGTTACTATAGGTAGGTACACCCATACATATACTCACAATAAATGCAAGCTGGTCTCTCTGCTACAGAAAAGTTAAAAGGCACTCATTCATTCAAAAAAACTTTATTTGGGGTGCCTAGGCAGCTCAGTTGGTAAAGCATCTGACTTGATTTCAGCTCAGGTCATGATCTCAGGGTGGTGAGACTGAGCCCCGCATCCGGCTCCACGCTGAGCATGGAGCCTGGTTAAGATTCTCTCTCCCTCTCCCTCTGCCCCTCCCCACTCTAAAACAAAACAAAACCCAAAAAACTTTATTTTGAATATCTACTATGTGCCAGGAACTGTATGAGGTACGGTGCACATAGGAATGAACAAGCCAGACTTAGTTTATGATAAAACATAACAACAAACAACTAGATATATCAAATGGTAATAGGTCCTATGGAAAAAAATAAAGCACAGTAAAGGAAAGAGATAGTTCTGGGGGTAGAGGGTTTGCTATTTTACATGTTGCACAAGGAAAACCACTCTATTCAGGTGACATTTAAGCAGTCTTAAATGAAGTGAGGGAACTAGCACAGCAGATACCTAGGGGGAAAGGTTTTCAGGCAGAGGAACAGCAAGAACAAAGCCCCTGAAGTAAAAGCATGGTTGGCATGTTCAAAGAACAGCAAGAAGGCCAGTGATGCTGGGGCTGAATGAGCCAAAGGGAGAATACTAGTAGGAGAGAAGAGCTGTAAAAGGAGCTCAGATCATGTAACAGTCTGTAAGCTTTGGCTTTTACTGAGTAAGATGGGGAGACACAGGAGGATTCTGAGCAGAATAATATCATCTGTCATGTATTTTAAAAGGCTCACTCTAACTGCTGGGTTAAGAAGAAACCGGTCAAAGTGAGCAGGGGTAGAAGTAGAAAAATCAGCTGGGAGACTATTTAAATAATCTAGGCAAGAGATGATGGCATCCTGAACAAGGATAGTAGCAGAGGAGGTAGTGAGAAATGGTGGGATTCTGAATATATTCTGAAGAGAGAGCTGACAAGACATGCCGATGACATGGACATGGACATGGATGGGTATAAGAGAAAGACAACATAAAGATGATTTCAAGTTTTTTACTTTAAGCAATTAGAAGAATGGAATTTTTATTGAAATGAAGAAGGCTATATAAAAAGAACATGTTTAAAGGGGGAAAATATTTTGTTTTTAGACATGTTAAGTCTGAGATGCCTAGTGAACATCTGAGAGTAGATGATCCAGCAGTCTACTTGAAGAATCTAAAGTTCAGGAGCTGTCAGCCTATAGATATTACTTGAAATGAGCATAGCTGAAAAAAGAAGAGGTCCAAGGTCTAAGTCCTGGGGTTCACCAATGTTTAGCAGTTAGGAAAATGAGGAAGAACCAGCAAAGGAAACCAAGAGAGCAATTAATAAAGTTAAAAGAGAACTAAGAGCATGGTATATTTTTTTTTAAAAAAAGATTTTATTTATTTGACAGAGAGAGAGGCAGTGAGAGTGGGAACACAAGCAGGAGGAGTGGGAAAGGGAGAAGCAGGCTTCCCTGCTGAGCAAGAAAGCTGATGTGGGGCTTGATCCCAGGACCCTGGATCATGACCTGAGCCGAAGGCCGACACTTAATGACTGAGCCACCCAGGTGCCCCAAGCATGGTGTATTTTTAAGAAAGCAATGATCAACCAGATAAATGATCTCGGGGCTTGGTGAAGTACAGATCACTAAGTGATCGTGACAAAATAGTTTCAATGGACTGTAATGGATTAGAGAATGAAAGAAGACAAAAAAGAAATGCCTACAACAACTGTCTTGAGGAGTATTGCTGTAAATAGGGAGCAGAGAAATAGGGAAGTAGCTGGAAAGAGATATAGGCTCAAGGGAATTTTCTTTCTTTATTATTCTTTTTTTTAAGATTTCATTTATTTATTTGACAGAGCAAGAGCACAAGCAGGGGGAGTGGGAGAGGGAGAAGCAGACTCCCCACCGAGCAGGGAGCCCGACATGGGGCTCGATCCCAGGACCCCGGGATCATGACCTGAACTGAAGGCAGACGCTTAATCAAGTGAGCCGCCCAGGCGCCCCTCTTTATCATTCTTAAATGGGAGATAGTATCACATATTTATATGCTGACAAGAATGGCTCAGTAGAGAGACAAAAACTACTGATCGCCAAAGAAAAAGGACAATTACTAGGGTTATGTCCTTGAACAGAATAGAGGGATGGGATTTAGCCCACAAGTAATGATGTGGATCCTAGACAAAAACTTGAACAGTCTATCCACTGGAACAGGAGAAAGAGGGTATTCACATTCAGGTGTATATATGTTGATAGCTGTGGCAACAGGACCATGAGGGAGTTAGATATCTTCTGACTGACTACCTCAAAGTTACCAGTGAAACAGGAAGCAATTTCTTTTTTTTTTTTTTTAAGATTTTATTTATTTATTTGAGAGAGAGCACAGAGGGAGAGTGAGAGGGAGAAGCAGACTCCCTGCTGAGCAGAGAGCCTGATGCGGGGCTTGAGCCCAGGACCCTGAGATCATGACCTGAGCCGAAGGCAGACGCTTAACTGAGCCACCTAGGCGCCCCAGGAAGCAATTTCTTTAGTTAGAAGGGGGGAGATGAGTTGCTGATTTGAATGGAAAAAAAAAAAAAGAACACATGAAATTGTCATCTTGGAAAGTGGGAGAGCAAGCCAATTGCAGAAATGCAGAAATTTAGCTGAACTATACTAAAGGCCCACTTAAGATCAGTAGTCACCAGTGAGCTCAGTGTATTCTTCTCCACATTTAGCTACCCAGGTACAGGCAAGAAACAGATACAGAATTTAATTTAACAAGTGTTGGAATAGAGTTGGATGACTACAGTGTAGGAAAAGAGGAACAAGTTTACTGAGGATATATTCACAAGAATAATTTTAATAATAGATCATGGACTCTAAGCAGAGAAGGAGGGAAGTGAAGACATGAAAGAACTAAAAAATGGTGAATTTTTTAAAGATTTATTTTATTTTATTTATTTGAGAAAGAATGAGAGAGAAAGAGCACCAGCAAGGTGAGGGGCGGAGGAGAAGCAAACTCCCTGCCAATCAGGGAGCCTTGATGCAGGGCTCAATCCTGGGACTCCCAGAACTCCAGGATCATGACCTGAGCTGAAGGCAGACACTTAACTGACTGAGCCACCCAGGTGCCCCAAGAATGGTGAATTTTCAATTATATGTCTCTCTCCCTCACTGTACTCTTCTTAAACAGAAGAATCATGCTATTCCTTCTCATATCCTATAACCTGGCCTAATGCCTGGCATATAGCAGATTCCTAAAAATTTAATTATCCAGGGGCACCTGGGTGGCACAGTTGGTTAAGCACCTGACTCTTGGTTTGGCTCAGGTTGTGATCTCAGGGTTGTGAGATCGAGCCCACATTGGGCTCCATACTCAGCACAGAGTCTGCTTATGACTCTCTCTGCCCCTAACCCCTGCTCTCTCTCTCTCTCTCAAATAAATAGATCTTTAAAAAAAAGATTTAAATGTGCAGATTTTCTACAATGAATACTATTTTTAAAAATGGTTACTGGGGGCGCCTGGGTGGCTCAGTAGATTGAGCATCCAACTCTTGGTTTCAGCTCAGGTCATGATCTTGGGTCATGGAGTCAAGCCCCACATCAGGTTCTGAGCTCAGCACAGAGTCTGCTTGTCCCTCTCCTTCTGCTCCTCCTCTGACTCACACGCGTGCCCTCTCTCTCAAATAAATAAAATCTTAAAAAAAAAAACAAAAAACGGTTACTGAATTGGAAAACTTCTATTTCCTTATCACCTACCCTTCACAGTCTGATTTAACTCTCATTCCTCTCATTTGAGGGTCACCAACTTTTTTTTTTTGAGAGAGAGCGAGTGTGGGAGGGGGGATGG